TCAAAGAAAACGTTTTCAGCAGACAATTTGATATTTTAAACAAACAATTTATTGTATAATAAAGTTATAACTTGAGAATAATCTCTGTTCAGTACATAGTTCACTTGCGAGTTTACATAACAACTGAACCATTGTACTGATGGTCTAAAAACATATTAGTGGAACTGTAAAATGCTTTTAGACCATCACAAATATCTAGATGGTTTGAGGGGGAGTGTGGTTTCTCATGGGAATGGATTTGCTCTGAGGACGAGCTCCGGTTAGGTTGTTTCGAGCGTTTCAGTACACCATTTTCTGCCCGTTGTGGCTCCCGTCCTGTGCAGGGGAGGAGGAGGGAGCCAAGGTTAAAATTTTAGGAGTTTTCTACATCAGTTTGTTTAATATCTCGCTGTCTCTCTCTGGTTCCCTCACTCACAGTCTCTGTCTCACTCACTCTGTCCTCTTACCTACTCTGTCTCACTCTGCATGCTAGCCTGTCTCTCCCACACAACTTTCCCCTTTCAGGCTCATGCATATGTAACACGCCCATGAAAGGACTCCTTTGCACGCACTCACGCACACAGGCGCTTGCATATGGGGTCCATTCGGGAATATATGCACACGCGGAAAACAGACACACACACATCACATGGAAATTCACATAACACTCGCGCAAGCGTACAAGTATGCACACGCACACACGCACACACACACACACACACGCGCACACACACACACACACACACACACACACACACACCACACACACACACACACACGCACACACACACACACACACAACACACACACACACACACACACACACACACGCACACACACACACACACACACACACACACACACGCACACACACACACACACACCACACACACACCACACACACACCACACACACACACACACACACACACACACACACACACACGCACACACACACGCACACACACACACACACACACACACACACACACACACACACACACACACACACACACACACACACACACACCACAACACACACACACACACACACACACACACACACACACACACACACACACACACACACACACACACACACACACACACACACACACACACACACACACACACACACACACACACCACACACACACACACACACACACACACACACGCACACGCACACACACACACACTCGCACACGCACACACACACACACACACACACACGCACACGCACACGCACACACACACACACACACACACACACACACACACGCACACGCACACGCACACGCACACACACACACAACACACACACACACACACCACACACACACACACCACACACACACACACACACACACACCACACACACCACACACACACACACACACACACACACACACACACACACACACACACACACCACACACACACACACACACACACACACACACACACACACCACACCACACACACACACACACACACACACACACACACACACACACACACACACACACACACACACACACACACACACACACACACACACACACACACACCACACACACACACACACACACACACACACACACACACACACACACACACACACACACACACACACACACACACACACGACAACGTGGCAGCTAAAACCTTCTCAAGCTTCCATGTATATTTACCCTCAACGTGTCGTGCATTAAACATCAGGGAAATATGGCCAGAGTCTTTTTAGTCACTTTTTTTACGTGAGTTCCCTAGAGTGTCTCCCCTACCTCACACGCCCTCCCCCTACCCTAAAATCCCTCCCCCTACACCCCTCCCCTAACAAACATCACCCCCCCCCCTCCTAGACTCTCCACACACCCAAAATCTTACCCCGCACCCCCCCCCCCCCCCACCTACGAAAAACATTCATAACATCAACTGTAGCCAAAACATTCGTGCTACCAACAGTATCGGAGTCAGTACCACAAGAATAATTCGTCTCAAGATAACAAAGAGATGCATTTCTCGCCTAAAAAGATGGGGTTTAAGGGGACGAAAAGTCTTTTGAATGTGACGTACTCTTGCCCAAGGCTCTTGCCCAAGGCTCTTGCCCAAGGCTCTTGCCCAAGACACTTGCCCAAGGCTCTTGCCCAAGACACTTGCCCAAGGGTCTTGCCCAAGACACTTGCCCAAGGGTCTTGCCCAAGACACTTGCCCAAGGGTCTTGCCTAAGCTGTCTTCTTACTTTACTTACACCCGCAGTAGAGAGAGAAAGATACCACACTCTGGGTGTTGGCCACCACACTTAGGGTGATGAAAATCATACTCAGGGTAATGGAAGCCACAAGTAGGATGGTGGAAACCGCAAATCATGGTAAAGGAAACGCTCTCTCAGTGTGGCTGAAACCTTTTCAAGAGAGGTCACCAACACACTGAATGCAACTGAAATATAAAAACCCGGTAAAAAAGGGGGCAAAAAAGCCTATGTACCCAGAGACACTTACTCTGCTCCACCAAATGACTGCAAATTACTCCATCACACCAATCCAACGTCCCCATTAGTTCATTAATAACAAGTTTCGGGAACAGGTTATAATGACAGGTCCGTGACCGCTCTACCCTGCTATAATTACCTGCCCCTTCCCCTCACAGGGGAGGCCATAATTTCCCCTCACAGCGGGCCATAATTTCCCCTCACAGGGACTCTAATTTGATAGGAAACATTTCACGGTAAATGGCTGGAAGGCACGCGAGCTCCCGACTGACAACTCTCCCATAGGACTGGTATTGCAGTTATATATATATATATATATATATATTATATATATATATATATATATATATATATATATATATATATATATATATATATATATATATATATATATATATATATATATATATATATATATATATATATATTCACCTGCTGCTATCAGGAGACTATAGGTGAATGCTTATTATACGTTTGTCTCATTAGCTGGCAAGTCTAACATTTTCCAATGGTAATTTTTGTTAGTAAACAATGTTAAACGTTTTAATGCTGGCTTGTGCTTGTACACATTGAACACAATAAGTCCGGTGTTTAAAGATAATTGTCTTTTAAAGTTTTAAATCATTCTAGTGAGGTTTGTATATTAGATTTAATGCTTCATTGGCTTGGTGTTGGGCTTTATTAAGGACTAATTAAGGGCCATCACAATAGTTTACTGACTAACGAGGCAGTACGCTTGACTTTGGTTCTGTACTATGGTCAGGACTAAACTGAGTGTATACTCAGAGAAGCGGAATAAACTGTGGATTGGACTTTAATATTTATTTTGAAGTTTGAATATTAATATTGACCCATTAACGGTTTGGGCCAATAAATATTATTATTATTCTGAAAGTTAATTTTCGCGTGAATATTTTGTGAGTGACTATTATTTTTGGCTTCAGAATAGTGATTTCTTAAATATAAACGTTAAATTTTGTGGCATTTAAGTAACGATACTCAAGTAAGTATCGACCGTCGCTCTACTTGGACGGTAGAGCGACGGTCTCGCTTCGAGCAGGTCGGCGTTCAATCCCCGACCGTCCAAGTGGTTGGGCGCACCATTCCTTTCCCCCGTCCCATCCCAAATCCTTATCCTGGTCCCTTCCAAGTGCTATATAGTCGTAATGGCTTGGCGCTTTCCTCTGATAGTTCCTTTTTTTCCTCTAGTCAGCGTGTATCAGCTGTCACGACTTGCATACAGAAATGGTTAACTATCGACAGTTTATAAACTCTTTGGTCTCGGTGTGTGTCTCGGAGAGGCTGCGGGATCCGTGTGAGGGCAGTAGAGCACTCCAGGTTGCAATTCTTTTGACCATGTCGTGGCGCAATCAACTAAGGCGCGTCTGGGATCATCCCGGACATGGGTTCGAGCCCTCATCACGGTCCTTGTGGATTCGTTCTTTGGTCTCTTCTCTTCCTCCTTCGTGTACTCGCCCTTACCTCCCTCCTCCGCCACGGCTACAGGAACATCCATCACCGTGTTGGACGTCTCAGTAACTTGAGAGAAACAGGTAGACAATATATTTGTGGGTTCCATTGTGTTCAATTGACGCAGGTGAGCCATTAGTCACGGGGGACACTGAACAAGTGCCAGTGTCTCCCTGACACTCTCTGTAAACAAGGCAGGTCGGTGGTCACTTACAGGCTTGTTGGTCATCCAGCTGACATCATCATCTCTTGGTCATCCAGTCATCCAGCTGACTGGATGACTAAGTCTCCCCTCACTTCTCCCCGCTCCCAATCACCTTTTCCTTAGCTACACCTACACCTCTTCACCTCTTTGTCTCTCACTCATGTCTCAACATACTCACTTACCCTCTCTCTTCAGCCTACATTTCTCCGTTGTTGTTTCATCCACCTCTCCCCCCTTTCCTCCTACTCATCCTCTCACGCCACGTCACTTACTCTTTTCTTATCCCTCTAGACCCCCCTCTTCACCTGTCGTTCCTAAATCACTGCTCCTCTCCTCTTGTAAAACGACAGTCAATTCATCCTTTCCTGTCCTCCCTTCTCCTGTCATATCCTCGCCTCTCCAGTTTTATCCTCTCCGCTCCTGTCTCTTCCTGTCCTATCCTTTCTGCTCCTGTCCTATGCTCTCCTGTCCTCTCCTCTGTCTCCTGCTCTCCTCTCACCCACTCTGCTGTCTCTCTCTCTCTCTCACCACTACAATAACTCACTAAGCTAATCTTAGCACACACACAATTCTCTTCCTCAAGGACTGAATCTAGCCATCGGGGCTTGCGGAAGTCAGTGAAATTATCGTCCATAATAGCCTCTTCCTTAAGGAATTATGATATAAATTTATATCTAGAAGTGAAAAATGAATTTGATAGGTTCATGAGACCTGTTGAATGTGGTTTATTGACGATTTATGGCTTCAATAATGAGTCACTGCGAATATATTTACCCGAATTTACCTGAATTTCCTTAAGGGTATGGAGTATTTTAATATTTTTTTTATGGATGATATACTAGGAAATCACAATAGCGTGATTTATCCTTTGTGAAAATCACTGTAGCAGGACGGGGATTGATCCAGCATGCTGGTATGGATGAATTGCGCGCTTAAATTTGATATGGATGATAAAAGAATGAATTCATTTTATTACTATAGCATATTGTATTATTTATACAGTCGATATTGATGCCCTTATCATTATTATTATCATTATATTATTATTATTATTCTACTCATTATTCTCACCATCAACCACTATAACTCAGTGCACCTAGGACGGTTATATGTGGGAAAGTACATAGTGGCAATGATCAAACGTAAATATATCAAAAACAATTTTTTTTTGAGACAGCAATTAATACATGCACTTTGTCAGCGTGTGGCAACACTCGCCCCTCATAAATTGTGAATACAATAGTACTCAGCGAGGAGCTGAATACTCTGGACCCCAGCGGCACTCTGACTTGCACTCTGTCTTCAACTGTTCCGAGTTTCAGATTAATATTCTCACGCTGTGTGATAGCTGCTTGATCCATTTGTTATCATTTTCCCCTCGCTCTGAGTAAATCTATTTTGGCGGTCCTGTGAGTGGGTGACTGGTTGGTTGGTTTAATTTCTTGGTGGTGTTTATGGTAGGTCTTCTTGATTTATTTTTCTTTAATTACCTAAGTGTAGTTACAGGATGAGAGCTACGCTCGTGGTGTCCCGTCTTCCCAGCACTCTTTGTCATATAACGCTTTGAAACTGCTGACGGTCTTGGCCTCCACCACCTTCTCACCTAACTTGTTCCAACCGTCTACCACTCTGTTTGCGAAAGTGAATTGTGAGTGTGTGTGTGTGTGTGTGTGTGTGTGTGTGTGTGTGTGTGTGTGTGTGTGTGTGTGTGTGTGTGTGTGTGTGTGTGTGTGTGTGTGTGTGTGTGTGTGTAAAGCGTTTCCATTCAGATCTTGGCTTGTCGTACGGTGAAAAGGTATAAACAATAAATCAAACATCCCCAGGCGTTCTTTCGACACAGTGAGTGTCAACTGAGCGCCTCTGAGGAGCGGCCCCTTTACAGGTGATATATACAAATGAATATATTACTGTTTTGTGAAGCGTGAGAGCCTAGAATGCAACTGAACAACAATAGCCAACTATGCCTTAGCAACAATGTGCATTGTATTGCAATACAGTGAACTGTCGCTTACAGTGAGATATTAGTGCCAAGGATAAAGTGAACACTTGTTAAGTGATGTATCATTAAACGAGATGTTAATTTGTTCTTGCCGCGAGACAATAGGCAAATGGTGAGAACCACAATAGACCTCCCATTAATTATATAAAAATGGGTATCGTCCAATATACCTTTGTTGGTGCAGCCACATACATATACATATACGCCACATACACATACATAAGTGTATGTGGGGTGTATGTGGCGTGAGTGTATGTAGCGTAGAGTGTATGTGATATTTATAACCATGACTAAATATACATATTAAAGTCTTATGTATTAATAAGCCTTTTATAGAAAAGTGGACAGGTCATCATCCCATCCAACATGGTAGGGGAGGAGGAGAGAGAGAGGGGGAAGCTTACGGGGAGGGGAGTACAGGGGCTTAAAAGATAGGGGGAGCTTATGGGGTAGGGGAGGAGAGGGAAGGGGCAGCTTACAAGTAGGAAAGGAAGGGGGAGTTAGATAAGGAAGGAGATGAAAGGGCGAGCCGACAGATAGGGGGAAGGAAAGGGAACAGGGAGTTGACAGATACGAGAGGAGAGGGAAGGAGGAGTTGACAGATACGAGAGGAGAGGGAAGGAGGAGTTGACAGATAGGAGAGGAGAGGGAAGGAGGAGTTGACAGATAGGAGAGGAGAGGGAAGGATGGATGAAGAGAGAGAATGAGTAAGAGGGGGAACAGGTGAACAAGATCTGAATTACATTAGAAAGAACTTGTTCATTGTCAGAGTAGTTAGTAAATGGAATGCATTAGGCAGTGATGTGGTGGAGGCTGACTCCATACACAGTTTCAAATGTAGATATGACAGAGCCCAATAGGCTCAGGAATCTGTACACCAGTTGATTGACGGTTGAGAGGCGGGACCAAAGAGCCAGAGCTCAACCCACGCAAGCACAATTAGGTGAAGACACCTAAGAGCCCAGTAAGGTCTCTACAGTACAGTCACTCACAGCCCTGACCTTCAACTACTTGGAAATCGTTACTGACGCGTACAGCTTCATCAAACAATCATAGCGCTAAATTCTCATCGCCGCTAAAGACAAACGTATACAGTCAAAACCTTAGAAATTTGTCACGTTGCAATGTGTCAATTTGCAATTGTTTTTAGCTTCTTATGAAGTATGCTTTTATTTGCAGTTTCTTCCACTGTGTTTCCATTTAAGTGTCTTATTATAAAATTGTGTTCGTCTCAACAATTCGATCTGATTAAGCTTGATCATTTTGATCTTCAAAAATCTGCATCCCCGGAGATTTTCGGAGGTCGGTGTTCAATCCCCGATCGTCCACAAGTGGCTGGGCACCATTCCTTTCCGCTTGTCCCATCCCAAATCCTTATCCTGACCCTTTCCCAATGCTATATAATCGTAATGGCTTGGCGCTTTCCTCAGATATGCAGGCGATGAGTCACAATAACGTGGCTGAAGAATGTTGACCAGACCACACACTAGAAGGTGAAGGGACGACGACGTTTCGGTCCGTCCTGGACCATTCCCAAGTCGATTGAGAATGGTCCAGGACGGACCGAAACGTCGTCGTCGTCCCTTCACCTTCTACCTTGAGGTTACCTTGAGGTGCTTCCGGGGCTTAGCGTCCCCGCGGCCCGGTCGTCGACCAGGCCTCCTGGGAAGTGTGGTCTGGTCAACTTTCCCCTGATAATTTCTTCTTCCATCCCCGGAGCCCTCTGGCGGGTACTACCCACCTTGACCGGAATACAGCCACATACCTCAGCAGAGATGGGACGCTGGGTCCAGGCGGCAGCAATCGATCTTTGGACGTTAAGGAGAGACTTTCAGTAGTACCAATAGCCGCATTTGTTACACCTCGCCGTTGGCTGTACCTCTTACTCTCTCCCGTTGGCTGTACCACTTACTCTACACCGTTGGCTGTACCTCTTACTCTACACCGTTGGCTGTACCTCTTACTCTCCACCGTTGGCTGTACCTCTTACTCTCCACCGTTGGCTGTACCTCTTACTCTCCACCGTTGGCTGTACCTCTTACTCTCCACCGTTGGCTGTACCTCTTACTCTCCACCGTTGGCTGTACCTCTTACTCTCCACCGTTGGCTTTGCGGAAAATATCATCTTAAAGAGTGAGAATGAACCCTTCAACCTCCGACAAAGGCCTAAGGTAAGCCCAAAAGGTTTCCTCTCCACGACACTAACATAACAAAAGGTTCATAGGGTCACTCAGTCGATTAAGGCAGCGTCTGGGATGCTCTCGGACGTAGGTTCGAATCCTCGTCACGGCCCTTGTGGATTTGTTCTTTATGGGGTTCTTTTCCCCCGATTTCGTTACACTTGCTTTGTACAGCGTAGTGGCTGGCCCGGGAGCCGCGTCATGAGACAACACCTTGCTAAAGCACTGTCAAAAATCCATAATTCGCTGCACTTGACAATCTGTTGCTTGAGCCCCGATATGCTACAATAATTATGAACTGGTTACAGCGTGACCTTGAGTTTTGTGCCGGTGGGTTACTGTGTATGTACGAGTTTCTAGACAAGATGTGGGGTCAGTTTCAAAACTCTGGTGACTGTACACATGACTGAGTCTATGTTTATCAACCCTGTGGTTTACCCGTGACCAGTTTCGATAGTCCTTATACTCCCGGGAGTAGAAGGGCCATGTTTTTTTGGTGATAAAGGTCTTTAAGGCTGTCTCTGTACAGTTGTAACATGTTCGACAGGGCACGTCCTCTCACTTCCAGTTGACGAAGTGGGAGAGCTCACATAGTCCAAACTGAGGAAAGGAGCTGACAGGGTGATTGAATTTCAATAAATCGTTTCGGCAATGCCTGACAAAGTGGCGACAGGCGATGGTCAGTCGAGAGAAGCTTGAGGGAGCGTTTGACCTTGCAATAAGGCTTTAGGGCCTGCAGCAGGTCCTCTGTTGCAAGTAAACTGCGAAAATTTAATATTTAGTCACGATACAACAGTTTGCAAATCTCAGTCCAACCTCCTGTTCAGATAGAACATAGTAACGATGTTCACAGTAACGTTCACAGTAACGATGTGAACCATCTTACATATATTGACGTATTGGACAATTAGAAAGTACAATTTGGTACCATTGAATTTTGACAAACCGAAAATGATTTTGAATTTATATTGCTAATAAAACCCTACTTAATCATCCCCAGGCCTAATAGAAGTTATCTGAGGCCCAACATGGTACACATTTGTGCTATACTAGGCCTAGGAATATTCAAGATTGGTTTAGCTTTTTGTTTTTAAGTGAATAGTACAAAATTTAAATATCTAACTGTCCATTCTCTGAATATATATATATATATATATATATATATATATATATATATATATATATATATATATATATATATATATATATATATATATATGTACGAGGGTGCACAGAGGTACTAAAGTACTGTCTAAACTGAAGGACGGGTTGGCAAATCAAGAAACATTTGAGATACTCTACTTTCTTAAGTTAAGGAAACCGTTTATAAATTAAGACTCTGATGACAATTAAGAGTGTCTTACATTATAGTACATATATTACAATCTACTGTGTATGAGGAATAGAATCGTCCTCAATACTAAATAATATGTACATGTGTAGAAATGTCACAGTCGGGTTACTGTAACATTAATTAGTCACAGTCGGGTTACTGTAACATTAATTAGTCACAGTCAGGTTACTGTAACATCAATTAGTCACAGTCAGGTTACTGTAACATCAATTAGTCACAGTCATGTTACTGTAACATCAATCTGTCACAGTCAGGTTACTGTAACATCAATTTGTCACAGTCGGGTTACTGTAACATCAATTTGTCACAAGTCAGGTTACTGTAACATCAATTTGTCACAGTCAGGTTACTGTAACATCAATCTGTCACAGTTACTGTAACATCAATCTGTCACAGTCGGGTTGCTGTAACAAATTGATCAACTTGTGCCCATCAGGTTATCATAACATCAATTTGTCAAAATAAGGAACATAACATCAATTTGTCAAAGTAAGGAAGGATACAGTGTACCACCTACTCAAGAACAAACACCTACTCCTTCTACTCCAACTGCTCCTTCTCACAGCCGTCTTGAGGAATGACCGTTCCCCCTGTTGCCCCCCCCCCCAACACCTTAGATCTCCTGTTATTAAAGAACAGTCTACGTATTCCTATTTTGTCATCTGAATTATTTGTTTGTCTTTGCCAAAGGTACATTGAGAAAAGGGGTTGACTTCTCAGTGTTGAGGGGGGCAATGGTGCATTTGTAGCTAAGAATTATTAGGTTAATGGGCAGACGAGGAGTCACAATAACGTGGCTGAAATATGTTGACCAGACCACACACTAGAAAGTGAAGGGACGACGACGTTACGGTCTGTGCTGGACCATTATTCTCAAGTCGATAGTGGTTAATGTTAGGTTAATGTGTTTTGATGAGTGGTCGTGGTTAATGAGAGACAAGCAACAAGACGTCCAGTTAGAGCGGCTGGCAACGGTGTTGCATGACCTTAAATCATCACAAAGAGGAAGGTCAACACGGAATTCTGAGCCAGTTAACATACCAGTAAAAACGTTCACCTTTATAATTGACTATTGTAATACTAGATGAGGTACCGGCAATGTCCAGTGGCTGGACGGTAGAGCGACGGTCTCGCTTCATGCAGGTCGGCGTTCAATCCCCGACCGTCCACAAGTGGTTGGGCACCATTCCTTTCCACCCCACCCCCGTTCCATCCCAAATCCTTATCCTGACCCTTTCCCAGTGCTATATAGCATTTGAGCTTATACATTTGAGAAAATACAGTTTTGTATTGTATCATACGAAGCAACACAAGAATATGTATGCGCCCTCGGGGAAAGCCACAACGATGAATGACCACAGCTTGAGGAAGACCATATGTACGTTATGTCCTAGATGGTCTTTAGGCGGGGTCCATTTCGACACATTTCTTCAGGACTTTGTCCAGCTGTCCATAATAGCACAGGTTCAAGTTTCATTACTGCATGGGAAGCAAGTAGTTTATTATTATTATTTTCTACCGCAGACGTGGCCACACATTTACAAGGCAAGTCGTGGCAGATGGGGTAACGGTGCTCCTGTTTGAAGCAGATGACTATAGCAGGTAGGCCGACATGAGAAAGAGCGCTAGTGTGGATTCTGGAAGCGACCAGCATCCACCGAGATGCCACAAGCCCAGAGAACAACCCATCCTCTTAATAGCACATCACATTTTAACGTTAGAACTACCTAGGGCCAAAAAACTGTCGTACTTGAAAATGGTAGCGGCTCGCGAAATTGACATAATGTCCCGTTTTCTGTTCGTGGGGGTCCTCTGCTAGGTTAGGATAAGAGCACTTTAGTACGAGAGTTTCTTGACGTTACGAACGCTGGCGAGAATGGGTTGAACAGAAACCAAATGAAGACATTCACAATACCCCGTCCCTCCGGCCGTCCACAGTGTGGTGGACTACAGTATGAATATGACGTCCACTTGTAGCTCCAGCACCAGCCACAACCCCACCACCAAGCCTTATCAATTATGGAAACACCATTGTTGACCTCATAAACCTTTCCATAACGACCTATAATTTGTCCCAATGTTATATGTACAGCCCTGATGGGGGCGGGTTGGTTGAGTAGTGTGTGTGTACTCACTCTACTCACTCACCAGCGTTGGCTTATCGCTCCCGCCTTTCTAGCCTTCGGTTGTTTAAAACAATGACTCCTGTTCTTCTTATATTACTTCTTTATATACTTTTACATATATATTTATATTACTTCTAAGCTGCATCACTTATAAACCCATCCCTGCCCTTGTGTGGCAGTGCACAATAGAAAATTGTTTTCACATATCCATACATTAAAACATTGATTGTAACTATGATATATATGTGCTTCAGCCTACAGTTTAGACCTATTGTCTTGTGCCAACTGGCAATATTTTGGGGCACAGGGGGAGGGAGTGGAGGAGGGGTGAGGGGGGGGTGGGAAAAAGGGGGGTCATAAAAGATGTATAAATATTCTTCTTTAGGGTTAATCCGAAGGTGGAAATATATGATGCATGAAGCACTTCGATTGATTCACAATGTGTCAATTATGTGTTTTTATGTACTCATCTATTAGTGCTTGCAGGAGTTGAGCTTCAGCTCTTTGGTCCCGCCTCTGAATTGTCAAATAACTGGTGTACAGGTTTAGGAGCCTAATGGTCTCTATCGTATCTACATTACAAAATGCGTAAGGAGTCTGCCTCCACCACATCACTGCCTACTGCATTCCATTTGTTAACTATGACACTGAAGACAAATGTTTTTAATGTCTCGCTCATTTGGGTACTCAGATCCCAACCGCGTCTAATTGTGCGAGTACCACCAATGATAAATATTGTTTTGATCTAACCTGCAAATTCCCCTGATAATTTTGTATGTGGTAAACATGTCTCCCCTAACTCGTCTCTCTTCCAGCGATATGACATTCAATTTACGTAGCCTTTCCTCGTTACTCATATCCTGACTTTCTGGAATTCATCTTGCGGCATACCTTTGAACCTTCTCCAGCTTGCAGGCGAGGAGTCACAATAACATGGCTAAAGTATGTTGACCAGACCACACACTAGAAGGTGAAGGGACGACGACGTTTCGGTCCGTCCTGGACCATTCTCAAGTCGACTGAGAATTCTCCAGCTTCGTCTTGTGCTTGACTATGAACGGACTCCATGCTGCAGCCGCATACTGCAGGATTAGTCCGAGAGATGTGATATACACGGTCCTAAATAAGTCCTTACATAAGTTTCTAAAGACAATTCTGATGTTATCCCGTCTCGCATATACCGCTGATGATATCCTTTTGATGTGGGCTTCGGGAGACACATTCCGTGTGATGTCAACTTTTAGATCTTTCTCTCTGTTTCATGGAGGATTTAAGTACAATGTGACGGCCTTCTGTTCCCTCCTATTAGCTTCATTACTTCACATTTACTTGAGTTAAACTCCAGTAGCCATTAATTGGACCATTTGTTATGTTTGTCCAGGTGTGTATGTGTATGTTTGTGTGTGTGTGTGTGTGTGTGTGTGTGTGTGTGTGTGTGTGTGTGTGTGTGTGTATGTGTATGTGT